AAGAGCTTCACAGATAAGGAAAAGCTAAAGGAGTTCATCACCACCAAACCAGTATTATATGAAATGCTGAAAGGTATCCTTTAAGAATAGGAAGAAGAAGAAAAAGGTAAAGATACAAATTATGAACAACAAACATGCATCTATCAACAAGCGAATCTAAGAATCAAGTGAATAAACTGGTGATCATAATAGAATCAGGGACATAGAAAGGGAATGGACTATTCTTGGGGGGTAAAGGGGTGTGGGAAATGCGGGAAGAGATTGGACAAAAATTGTGCACCTATCGATGAGGACAGTGGGTGGGGAGTGAGGGCGGATGGTGGGGCAGGAACTGGGAGGAGGGGAGTTATGGGAGGAAAAAAGAGGAACAAATGTAATAATCTGAACAATAAAGATTTAATTAAAAAATATATATATATTCCCATCATTATTTTGAGATGAAATATTTAAATATAACTACTATCAAATTTTAGTAATATCCTATTTATATGACAGTCATAATTTGGTGACTTAAACCATCCAGAATGGATTCTCAAACTTGAAAGAGTTATGGACAGTCATCACAGGTCATGATGAAGGATTATGCCCTAGACCAGTGATGGCGAACCTTTTGAGCTCGGCACATCAGCATTTTGAAAAACCCTAACTTAACTCTGGTGCTATGTCACATATAGACATTTTTTGATATTTGCAACCATAGTAAAACAAAGACTTATATTTTTTATATTTATTTTATATATTTAAACGCCATTTAACAAAGAAAAATCAACCAAAAAAATGAGTTCGCGTGTCACCTCTGACACGCGTGTCATAGGTTCGCCATCACTGGTCTAGATCCCTTCCTAGACCCTATGTGTTTAGGAATGCCTATTTTAAAGTATTATGTTTTAACAAGATGGATGATCTGATTCATGTGATAGGCTTCAATTCTTCTAGAAGTTAGAAAGCAGCAGATTAGAAACAAAAAGGTGACAGACCACTAAATGTAGATGCACTTACAAAAGTCAAAATAGGAGCTACTAAAGACAGAAGCATAAAGCCTCCACAGGTAATGACTAAAAGCACAGCAGTACGGGGGCAGACAAGCCTTCACTATGCAGTGACTTACTCAACTCTTAGTAAGTGTTAGCGCTTGCATAGCTTGCATAGCCCCTTGCTGGTAATAGGGTGGGCAAGGGACAAGAAGCATGACGTGTAGTTTGTATCTTTAAGGAGCTTGTAATTTACTTAAAAAGAAAAAGCCAACATACACCACTTAAACAATAATTACGTTGTTTAAAATATAAAGTAATAAGACTACGAATAAGGATTAATAAAACTGACAGCATAAAATACACGATAGAAGGCAGGAAGAGACATTTTTCGGGGCAGGTTAGAGTAACCAGAAAAGCTTCCGTGATAGAGGCTCCCTTCTTTTGTTATATATTGCAAGTTTATTTTTAATGTTGAAAATACTATGTAAAACACAAATGTAAATAAAAGGCTCTGGGGGAAGTCCCACTCTAGCCTGGGAAATTTCTGACTGATGACTCATCACAGAAACCTAGAGGAGGGAGATAGGGCTGTAACCTGAGCTGATTACCCATTCAGCACACTCAGGACTTGATCTCCTCTCTGCTCTGAGCTGAGAGCCGAAAAAGTCCCTAAACAGGAAACAGGAACTTAGTGCATAGCCTAAGAATGGAGCCGGCACTTTGAAGTAGGAAGAGATGTCTAGTTTGCTTCTGGCCAAGTGACCGGTTATGATTGAAGTTCAGATAAAAATAGGTTTTGTCATCAAAGCTCTGTGGACATTAGTGCTTATTAATTCATTGATTGATTCACTGATTCACTCAATAAACCACTACTAGGTACCTGCTGGAGATATAGAACACACACACACACACACACACACACACACACACACACAAGCTCCATTTCCTAGAAGAATATTCTATGGGAAGGGGAGAGACAGATAAGTCAATAGCTATAGCAAAACAAAACAAAACAAAAAATACAAACAAAACAACAACACAAGAAAGTGCTAACTGTAATGACAGGAGGACAGAATTGCTCTGAGAGCCCTCTCTGCTCTCTCACCTCCATACTAGCATTTTCTGTCCAGGGCACAATTCCTGTCCACCCTTGGTCAAACCTATCACCCAGTTAAAAGCTCCCCTAACTCTAAGCCTAGATGTCTTTTTTTTTTAAAAAAAAATATGTTTTTACTGATCTCAGAGAGAGGAAAGGAGGGGGAGAAAGAGAGACAGAAACATCAATGATGAGAGAAAACCATTGATTGGCTGCCTCCTGCACGCCCCACACTGGGATCCAGCCCACAACCCGGGCAGGGAATTCCCTATGCCTTAACATGGAATTGAACTGTGACTTCCTGGTTCATATGTTGACACTCAACCACTGAGCCACGCTGGATGTCTTTTTCTCTAGTAACCTTTCCAGAACCCCCAAATCTGGCCCAGTGCCTCTCCAGTGAGCGCCCCTGGCTATGACCACAGGAGGCACTTGTGACACAATATTCTATTTGCCTACTGACCTGTCCACTCCCTCCCTAGACAGTAAGTGCCACAGGCTGAGGATTGTGCTTTTCCCCTTCAGTACTGTCTCCATGTCTACCCCTGTGGCTGGCACTAAGTTGTCCTCAGTAAATACTTACTTGAAATAACTAACTAATTAAGTAATTAAAGATAAAATTCATCACTCAAATATCCTTTCTAATATGCATATAATACATACAAAAGTGTTTATTGTTGTTAACTCTTGAAATTTTATGAATCACTTGAGTAAGCTTTAGTTATCTGAAAAATTCACCTGTGTGAAAATTCACTCTGTAAACATGATGGGTAAATTGTGTCAGTGTAGATGAATTATCCATGCTGTTAAATTTGTAAACAGGTACTCAAGCAGCTTCCAAGACATTTCTGCAACCCTCAATTAACCAACGGTGATTGGTGAGGATAATATGTAGCAATAGTTAAACCAAGTCCATTGAAAACTTCCCAATGGAACCCTAGCCTCACTCTGCCTTTAATCAATGCTATTACACATTTTTAAAGGGTTTTTTGTTGTTCTTGTTGTTGTTTTTATTCTTCATTTTCCTTTGGCAAACGTGCTTATGAGAAAGGAAATGGTCAGAAGACAATTTAGAAAAAATGAACATTGGTACTCAAACACAACATAATCATTAAATACCAAGACAAAGCGGCATTGATCTGGAAATTCTGGAGGAATTCAAGAGAACTGCTGACCACAATAACTAAAGTAATTGTTAGCATAAATGACCAAAAGAAAGTTTTGTTGTAAAAGCTACTAAAAGGGATCTTAGTTCAACAATTGCAAAGCTGGTTGAGATTATACTTAAAGCAAAAAAAAATCACAAAAGAACTTACAATGAAAGAAAAAAACGCCAAAGTTGAAAATAACCTATCATGTTCACACAAATGTTTATAGCAGCGTTGTTCATAATGGCCCAAGGTAGCAACAATCCAAATGCCCATCAACTGATTGGTAGATATATAAAAGGTATAGTGATATCACATGAATATAATTTGGCAATAAAAAGGAATAAAATACTAACACATGCTATGAGATGGATGAACCTTGAAAACATTATGGACAGTAAGAGATCTGATCACAAAAACTACATATGTCATTCCTTTTATATGAAATCTCTAAAATAGGCAAATATATGAAGACACAAAATAGGTTAGTGGTTGCTTAGGGTTAGGGGTACGGGAGGATAAAAGGGTTAACAACTAAAGAGTACGGAATTTCTTTTTGAGATGATTAAAGTGCTCTAAAATTGACTGGTTATGGTTACATGTATCTAAGAATGTAGTAAAAACCATTGGACTGCACCCTTTAAATGGGTGAATTGTGGAGCATGTGAATCATATGTCAATAAAGCTGTTTTTATAAATAATCTACTGGAAATATGGTAAAATTTTACTTACCAGGGGAAATAATACCTAATTAATTTTTAGAATATTTTGCAAAAGCAAATAGGCATATGCAAATAAAGAATAGGTGGTCTAGTTTTATGCTTAAGAAGCCACTTGTTATTCTGATACCAAGTCCCAGTGAGATGGGGTGAAGAAGAGTCTATATATCCTGTTCTATGTCTCCTTCAGGTTTGTGCTAGATAAGAAATGGCTTTGAAACACAAAATAAGTACAGTGGAAAAAGTATAAAAAGCAGGATTCTTCTGGGATGGGTGCTAAAACATGCCTTATCATTATTTTTTCAATGATTTGGAGGAGACAACAAGTGATAAAGTTTCTTTGTTTTTATATAACTAAAATCTTTCAAGAAAGAAAAAGACAAATCAATGGAGACAGAATACAGAAATATATTTCAAATCAATTTAAGTGAGAAGAACAGTCACAATTGAATTTTAACACAGGCAAATGCCAAGTAATTCATTTAGGGAGATGGATGGATGGATGGATGGATGGATGGAAGGACGGACGGATGGAAAGTGACTTGAACTATTGATGACAATTCACAGCTCGTAAAAGAAAATTTTACGTAATTAGGGATTCTAATATGTTGATTTGGGGAAATTATATGTCTAATTTAATGACAGCATTTTAAAAATCAGGCTTGTCACATAACATTTTAAGAAATTCAATGGCTTACTAATCTGATATAAAGAAAAAAGGAAAGGAGGAAGAAGGAAGGAAAGGTGGGAGGGAGGAATGGAGGGAAGAAAGGAAGAAAATTTATAGATTGGTCTTCCAATTGTTGGGTATATGACCCTTCTTCTTTGGATATGGGTATTTATTATTGTGTCAGTCATGATAAATCATTAAAAAGAATATTTCGAGATAGAAAAGTTCTCATTGTTGTAGATAAGAATTTGAACTCATCAATAAATTATTTAAGAGAGCTCTTTTAGCTGAAATTTGCATCATAAGTTCCATCTTTACTGTTATTTTTTTACATTTATATTAATTTAATGTGCTATATTAATCCAAAGAAAAAATAAACCAATTGATATTTACCTCCTGTTTCTGACCTATTGTAGAATGTAATACTTGAGCCACTATCTTCACTCCATTTAACTGGAATATTCCATGTGTAACTAAAGCGATTTAAAAAGAAAAAAATAACTTTTATTACTAAAAAAATAAAAACATACCCAAAGTAAACATAATTTTAAAAGCATTTTCTCAGATCACAATGGCATGAAGTTAGAAATCAACTTACAATAAAAAAACAACTCAAAAACACTCAAATACATGGAAGCTAAATAGCATGTTAGTAAACAATTAATGGGTTACCAATGAGATCAAGCAATAAATTAAAAACTTCTTGGGAATTGATGTCAGAGAGGAAGGGAGAGGGAGAGATAGAAACATCAGTGACGAGACAGAATCATTGACTGGCTGCCTCCTGCACACCCCACAGTGGGGATCAAGCCAGCAACCGGGACATGTGCCCTGACTGGGAATCGAACCGTGATCTCCTGCTTCATAGGCCGACACTCAACCACTGAGCCACACTGGTCAGGCTAAACAGCAGTTTAAAATATGTCTGATCTAATTTGCTAGAATATAAAATAGCAACTATAAAATAAACAGTTTATAGTTAACAGCACAATCACAGACTTTATTATATTGATTTTTTTGTCACTGAATTATCACCTGATAACAAGTCACTTCTATGTTTCAATGCATTCATATATTAAGAGGAAAGGGTGGAAAAAAAAAAAAGTTTTTGCCATCATAATTTTTTGCTTTCCAAAATAAACAAAAGATAAAGAAGTATACACAGACACACCCTGACTGATCTCATTTGGTCTAGGAACTCAGATTTTCCTTTGTTTTGGTGAGAACTATTCTTTTTCAAAACTTGGATTACAGTCACATATCCAGTTTCTCTGAACCCCCTTTACTCTGGAAGAACTGGCTGGCTGAGAGTCCAGGAGGAGAGGCCAGGCATGGGTCTCCACAGGTGAGCACCCCGCCAATTTAATAATTCTCAGTTTTCTTCCAGGCCTTGGACAGAAAGTACTTTTTTGGCTGTTTGAACGTTAGTAAACACCTAGCTGTGCTGTTAGGGTGACCTCATTCCCAAAGCTCTGAACTGGGAGCCAGAAAACAGGTCCTGCTACTCACAGCACGGAGCCCCTGGCACAGAGTGGGCCTACAGAGATCTGCATTTCTCTAGAAACATGGCTACGAACAACATTCTAAGAGGAGATTGTCCTCTAAAAAAATAAAAACATACCCAAAGTAAACATAATTTTAAAATGGATTCATTCATCCAACTCAATCCCCTGAACACTGTTTATTCTTTACTTAGGAATTTTAGCTCAGCCTAATCTTTGGAACATCAGGGCAGCCAATCCATCGTCTCTCCCATCTCTTTACAGAATTGCCCTCACCACCTCCCTGTCCCACGCTTGCCCCTCTTATCTGTCCTCCAAAGTGCAGCCAGACGGGAACTTTGAAAAATGTAAGTGTGATCCACCACTTCTTCCCTTAAAGTCCTCGAGTTTCAGCACTATTGTTCAAAAATCTGTAACGTGGTCTGCATGCCAGGCCTCTGCCTTCCTCTCCACCACTTTTCCCAGGGCCTCTCAGCTGCCCAGTTTCTAGGAGCCAGACTACCTGCATTCAGATCAAGGCTCCATCACTTATATGCTATGTAACCTTGCATAAATTATTGAATCATTTTCTGCCCCATTTCCCATGTTATAATAATAAACCATAAGGTATTTAAAATAGTGCCAACTACTCAGGAAATGCTAAATGAGTGTCGCATATTACAGTGCTCCTTTCTAACTCCAGAGCCTTCACACATGTAATAGTTTCTGTTTTGAACATCACTGATAGCCAAACCTCCACACCCATTTACTCAGCTTAAATATCCCTTCCAGAAGAAAGAACGTCCTCTGTAGCCCTCCCTACCCCACCACCCGTCCTGACCCACCCATTAGTTCAGGCTCAGCCTATCAGTGGATACAGATGACAGGAGACAATAATTACTGTGAAACTTTCAAATGGAAGCCTGTTTCAAAAGAGACAAATACTTTTAAAATTTAATATCAAAAGGCTCCAGCAGTATTAAATTTGGCCAAGTAATTTGCAAGGACATAAAACAGTAACTATAACGAAAGGAGATTACAGTTATTAAATGAAACAGTTTCTGACACAACTTCACACCCTCTCATTCTCCTTCCTCTTGTTATCCTAATTGCTACTGAATAATTGATCTGTGGTGACTTATATGTGACTATAAAATAAGGCCAATGAGACTATTAAGAAAGAAAGAGGGTGAAAGGTCTTTTCAGTGGAGATGAGAGGCCACTGGAGTTGGGGTGGATGCAAACTATGTTAAGAAGCTGAAAGAAGGAATAATGAAAATTAGCATGGGTGACATTGGAACGATATCCAAGGGGACCAGGGCCACACTGTGCTGCTCCCAGGTAGCTGGATCCAGTCTAGGAAGAGGCCCAGCTGGGTAACAGGGGTCTGGAGTGATAATGCCAAAGGGTCACACCGGGGGCTGGAGGTTCTTAGTCCCGGAGGTCCTGATTTTCTTCTCTTCAGCTGGGAGTGGTTGACACTCCATAAACATATATAAGAATAACCATTAAGTTATACAGAAATAGGATAAAGTATTAAGGCTTTTGTACAAGTAGTATTTATGCAAGTGTGAACCAGCAAACTTTCGGTGCACAGGATGACGCCCAACCCACTGGGACACACCAGCCAGGGCTCAATACCTCTATTTTTTTTAACTCACCCACAAGAGAGGGTGATTTAGTTACTTATATTACTTTGTCTTCCATTCCCCTTTTAGCAGTCAAAATTTAATAAAGTAAAATTATTATTGTTATTAGACTTTTGTAGGTTACAATTGTTCTTGTAAATAATATACTCATTCTGCTATTTTTATTTCATAAATGAGTATTGACACTCTCTCCTAACTGGAAAAGGATATCTTGTGGAATGCTGGCAATTAACTAGCTTGGGGGCGGGTGTGGGTGTGGGTAGGATATAGTATTTGTTGACTTCCATTAATGTGCATTATGACCAATCATTGCAAGCTACCAGCATGATGTTACTGAGGTAGGACGGGAGCCAGCGCCAGCACATGACCGAATTAGCATCCCACACTGTCTTCTACCTTTCTCTCCTTTCCAGTTCCTTTCTTAGGGCAGCAAATATTTTCTGATGACAACGTTGACTATTTATATTTACAATCTACTCTGCCACCATAACAAAATCTCTATATTTGTTAGCCATTGGTTGATTATAAAAATTAAGAGCCAATAAATAACATTTGTGAAATTATACTATACTCATATTGTTAGCCAAGAAGTGTGTTGGAGTTACATTCCCTTCTCTATGGTCTAATTTCATGGTCTCTGAATCATTTAAATAGTATTTCCCCCAACAGCTTAATATAAAGGTCAAGTGGACTCCTTTTTTATTGTGCTTTATCAGTAGCATGAAATTATTTCACCTGCTTCATATTTTTCAATCACAATTGTTACATATAGCCATTTATCTATCTAACTATCTATCTATCTATCTATCTATCTACCTATCTATATCTATCTATCTATCTATCTATCTATCTATCTATCTATCTATCTATTTTTCTCTTTGTAGTTGATCTAACTGATGGGCCTTCACTGAGTCCTCAAGTTTTTCCATCTTCCCATTCACTCTTGTTCCTGGAGTCACCTGCTCTGACTCTCAGCGCTGAGCCCCCTGATGGCTGTGGGCCTGTATTTCCTTCCATGGCTTTCCTAGATTGGATGCACTGTGTCCTGGATCCCATCTCTTCCTTTTTTATTGATGTACTAGAGGCCTGGTGCATGAAATTCATGCACTGGAGAGGTGTCCCTCAGCCCAGCCTGCACCCTCTCCAATCTGGGACTCCTCGGGGGCAGTTGGACATCCCTCTCACAATCTGGGACCGCTGGCTCCTAAACACTTGCCTGCCTGCCTGTCTGATTGCTCCTAACCACTCCCCTGACGGCATGATCGACACCTAACTGCTCCCCTGCAGCCTGATCACCCCCAACTGCCCTCCCCTGCAGGCCTGGTCACCCCAACTGCCCTCCCCTGCCAACCATCTTGTGACAATGTAGGGGTGGCCATCTTGTGACAATGTGGGGGTGGCCATCTTGTGATGATGTGGGGCAGCCATCTTGTGATGACGTGGGGTGTAACCATCTTGTGACAACGTGGAGGCAGCCATCTTGTGACACCAGGGTGTGAAGGTCAATTTGCATATTGCCTCTTTATTATACAGGATTCATATTTTTTTCTCTCTCCTCCAATCCCCCTGGAGTGTAGCCTTAGTAACTTTCAAAGAAGTGCTGTGTGGAAAGCACTTTCTGGAAATGTCTTCACTGTGCATTTTTGCATTTGGTTTACTTTCACTGGGTAGGGAATGAAAGGTTGAAAATATGTTTTGCTTCACCATTTTAGATTGTTCCATTTTCTTCTTGCATTCAGGGTTGCTGTGAAAAAGACTAATGCCACACTAACTAATGTATCCTTGTTTTCACATTTTTTTGAAGTTGTAGCTAGGCATGTGTGTACTCAACACAAAAAGGCATGCACTCAATGGGGCCTTTCATCAAAACCCTGATGTTCTTCATTATTTCTTTGATATAATTTGCCACTCAAGTTTCTCTGTTTTCTTTTTTGTGAGACTTCTATTAGTTCGGTGCTAGATTTTTCACATCTTCTCTTTCCTATTTGCCAGTTCTATGTGTGTTTGTCTTATATTTTTAGAGAATTCCCCAAATTTATTTCTAGCTGGTCTATAAATTTTCTACAACCAAAAATTTAATCTTCCGGAGACCTTTTGTCTTCTCAGTTTGTCCTTTCAAAGACATTCTGCTCTTAGTTAATGGGTATAATAGTTTCTTTGATCTCTCTATTCTGTAAGTTCATTTTCTGTTTCCTCAATTATGTTTCTTATAGAGACAGGTGTTTTATTTGTTCACATGGGATTTTACCTTTTTATGCTTTTAGATTCTTTTCCCGTGGTTTTTGAGGCTTAATTGTCCATTCATATTTAAGAAAGGACTAAATTGATTATCCTTGGTGTTTTGTATGTAATCCCTCTACTGTTGAGAAGGGAGTATTATTTTTGAAAGTCTTCTCTACTGAACAAGAAGTCTGGCTGCGAGCTCTGTGGATGAATGAGGGGTGCAGGTAGCTGCACCCATCCATCCTGCAAATGGCATAATGAGGGATGCTTTACACTGGATGTCTCAGCCTAAGGGAAATCCTTAGCTCTTCTCCACTGATTAAGTCCATTTCTTTAGGGGGAAAAAGCCCTCTGGATTTTTGCCTTGGGTCATTGACAGACTTCTGAGAGCTCTGTACAGAGGAAAGGAAGGCAGTAGACAAAGGGAAAGTGGAAGAGAAAGTCTGAGGGTCCAGTGTCCTGAGTTAATTTCAAATCAATTGCCCTGTTTTCAGCCTCTTGACACTCCGACTCTCCCCCTCCCCCCACTCTTCATGCTTTCATTCTTCCTCAAATCTCTTTTTATTGGCTGCATCTTCCTCAGTTTGTTTTTTGTCAATATTTCTCCTGCTTTTTGTCCTCTAGAATTCTATGCTACATATAACCCCTTCCCTCCATTTTCTTTACTTTTATGAGTTTATTTCTTTCAGCACTTCTATTTCTCTGTTCAATAGTTTCTGGGAAGAATAGGATGTAGGTGCATTTTGAACCTGGAGATCACTGAGCTATTTTTAAATGCCTTTGTGTCCCTAAAGACACCATCCTATATGATAAAAGCCTAATATGCTAAATGTCTGGTCATTTGGTTCGCCATTCATCCAATCAAAGCGTAATATGCTAATGATATGCTCAACCGCTCACTATAATGTACACCGACCACCAGGGATAGACAGTCAACCAATTGGCTATGACATGCACTGACCACTAGGGACCAGACAGTCACTATGACATGCACTGACCACCAGGTGGCAGATGCTCTGACCGGTACGTTAGCTTGCTGCTGGGGTCCAGCCGATCGGGTCTAAGTGAGATAGGTCGAACACACCCTGGATCCCTCCTGCGGTCCCTTTCTGGCTGGCCAACCTCCTGCATTCCTCCCCGACCCCAATCATGCACTGGTGGGGTCCCTCAACCTGGCCTGCCCCCTCTCGCAATCGAGGACCCCTCAGAGGATGTTGAAGAACTGGTTTCGGCTCTATCCCACAGGCCAGGCCGAGGGACCCCACTGGTGTATGAATTTGTGCACCGGGCCTCTAGTGCTTTTTATATTATCACCCATCAATCTTGTACCGATGAGCAAGACCTAAGCAAATGACCAATATTTCCATCAACTTTCTGCTTTTCTCTTGAAATGCATTATAGATCCTTACCCAAGCTCTGAATGTGGCAGAGAAGGATTAGCTTTTGGGTCCAATAGAAAGCGTTTCTGTTTGATATTCTTCATATCAGTCACATCAAGGACAGGATAACCCATCTGTTTGGTCCAGGTGTCCATCACTTCTTTCACTGGCAGATTACTTGCCTAAGGTTTAAAAAACACGGAGAATAATTAACAAATAAGAAATAAAAGGATAGCTGAACCGGTTTGGCTCAGTGGATAGAGCAGGGGTGGGCAAACTTTTTGACTCGAGGGCCATAATGGGTTCTTAAACTGGACCGGAGGGCCGGAACAAAAGCATGGATGGAGTGTTTGTGTGAACTAATATAAATTCAAAGTAAACATCATTACATAAAAGGGTACGGTCTTTTTTTTTTTTTTAGTTTTATTCATTTCAAACAGGCCGGATCCGGCCCGCGGGCCGTAGTTTGCCCACGGCTGAGATAGAGCGTCGGCCTGCAGACTGAAGGGTCCCGGGTTCGATTCCGGTCAGGGGCATGTGCCTTGGCTGTGGGCACATCCTCAGTGGGGGGTGTGCAGGAGGCAACTGATTGATCTCTCTCATCGGTGTTTCTAACTCTCTGTCCCTCTCCCTTCTTCTCTGTAAAAAATCAATAAAATATATATATTTTTAAAAAAAGAAATAAAAGGATAAATAATGAGATAAATATATGATCAATAAACTATTTATTAATAAAACAAAGAAGTACTTGGGGACATACTCTTCCTTACCTCTTCAAGTGCTGCCCAAAAATCTGAAGTTTTTGCATTCTCAAATTTGTATCTTTTCAAATAAATCTGTATGTGAAAGAAAACAAATACTTTAGGAGTCAATGTTTGCTTTCCTTGCATTTCCACAATATGAGCTGAACCCTTAGACACATTTCACTCGGATGTATAATATAGTGTACCTGGATTGAAAATCAAGTGATACACTGTATGAAAAGTATTTTAACCTAAAAAACATTGTACAAACAATAACTTATTTGTAAAGCATAAGAAATTTTTTTTTTTAATCCTCACCAGTGGATATTTTTTCCATTGATTTTTAGAGAGAGTGAAATAGAGAGGGAAAGAGAGAGAAACATCAATGTGAGAGAAACACATTGATTGGTTGCCTTCCGCATGAGCCCTGACCAGGCTCTGGGCCCGAGGAGGAGACTGCAACCAAGGTTTGACTGGAATCGAACCCAGGACCCTTTGGTCCTGATGCTCTATCCACAGAGCCAAAACGGCTAGGGAGAGAAATATTTTTTCTTATTAATGAGTTTGTTCTTTTTTTTTTTATCGATTGCAATTGTGAACAAGAGAAATAGTTTCATTTTTTTCAGGATAAACAATATAAGATAGACAAGGGGAGTGAAATGTTCAGCAAACAGTCAACAGTTCATAACACTTCTGATCCACTCTGAAGAGAGATCCATAATTCTGTGATCTTTATTTAATGGTGTTAGCCTATCCACTGCCTGCTGCATCCTGTATCTTCACTTATAGTGGTGTTTTCTCATCTCAGACACTACATGACCCCATCATACACATGGGTGATTGAGGTGATAATCAAACATAAAACAAGTGAGCTTGACTCTAAGCCAGGGCTCTGCAAACAAAATTATTTCTAAATTTTTAAATGGCTGAAAAATACTTTTGTATAAAAAGCTATATAGTGAGGATTTTAAGCGTTGTGGGCCATAAAATCTCTGTTGCAACTACTCAACTCCACCTCCATAGCAGAAAAGCAGCCATAAATAACACCTAAGTGAATGAGCTGCCTCCCAATGAAAGCTCATTTATGCACGCTGATATTTGAGTGGCACATAACTTTCGTGTCATGAATTACTCAGAATTTTTTCAGCCATTTAAGAATTTAGAAATAATTTTGCCTGCAGACCTTACAAAAATAAGTGGTAGGCCAGATTATGCCCACAGTCAATAGTTTGAAATGAATATACAACCTTGTGATTGATGATGATGATGGTGGTGGTGGCGGTGGATAAATTGGGGAAATCATTCACTTTAAAGAATAAGTCTTCAAATATTTTTAAAATACAAAATTTTAATTAGAAGACTTCCCCTTTTGGCAATTCTATTTACAAAATCTCTCCATATGTGAGTTTTCAGATATGTGACTTATTCCTAAATTCCCAGTCTTCCCCTAACATAATTGAGCACCATGGGTGGTTCTCCAGCAAACCTTGCAAAGTTCCCGCTGTATCGCTCCTTTGTCACTCTCTAGGGTTGTCCCATTTAAAATGTGGGGGTCTTTGCCTGGCTGGCCAGCTTGGCTCAGTGATTGAGCATCGACCTATGAACCAGGAAGTTATGGTTCATTCCCGGTCAGGGCACATGCCTGGGTTGTGGGCTCAATCCCAATAGGGGGCATGCAGGAGGCAGCCAATCAATGATTCTCTCTTATCACTGATGTTTCTATCTTTCTCTTTCTCTCCCTTCTCTCTGAAATAAATAAAAATATATTTTAAAATGTGGAAGCCTTTGATAAAAACAGAAACTTCTTGCCCTAGCTGATTTGGCTCCATGGATAGAGCATTGGCCTGCAGATTGAAGATTCTCGGGTTCGATTCTGGACAAGGGCATATACCTCCCGGCTCTGGTTGGGGGCATGCGGCAGGCAACCAATCGATGTGTCTCTCTCACATCAGTGTTTCTCTCTGTCTCTCCTTCTCCTTTCCACTCTTTCTAAAAGTCAATGAAAAAAATATCCTCAGGTGAGGATTAAAACAAAACAAAACAGAAACTTCTTAAATATTCTCCGAGCCTTCAAAAAAAATAACTAGTGGGTGACTTTGCACATATATTTTTCACTCTAAGTTGTTATAATTTTCAAGAGGTGCTGTACCTAGGTCACATTATCTTCTACATTCCTCTTCTTTCCAGGAATAGAGAGATAGAACAGTGTTAGCAGGATGCTCCCCAAAGCCTGGAAGGGCTGAGGCCAGTTTGGAATGGGGCCTTCACGTTTGCTCTTCTGGCTAGTTCACCGGTCAGCACCGCCACCGGAGGGCAGGCAAAGGCAAGGAGAAGAAATGACAGGCGCATACTCTAGCGTCAATTTCAGGTAGTCATCCCAGAGTTTGCAAAAATCATTTATTTTGGTAAAATAATTGGATACTTGGAATATTAATAATTATGACTATTGATACCTGTTAATGTCAAGTTCTAGTGAATAGTAGCTTCTTAAGATTAATTTGGAGGAGTTTATCAGTATTTTCACAATGTCTTGAGCTTAGAAATAAGCAATCTTGGAACTGAAAGGGACCTTGAATATTATTTAATACGACTCCCACATGTGGGGGGGAGGGGTGGCGGTGAAGGAAACTGGTGCTTACAGAGGTGAACAAATTTGCCTGAGATTATCTTGAGGAGAATTCTGAATCCTGGACCCGTTTGTGGGGGTTTTGCCACTATGCTTATTTTTTTTATTGATTTGAGAGAAACATGGGTTTGTTGTTCCTCTTATTTGAGTTCATTGATTGCTTCTTGTAAGGGTCTTGACCAGAGGTTGAACCTCACCATGGCCCACGGGGACAATAGTCTAACTAAGCTACCCAGCCAGGGCTTTTTTTTGTTTTTTTTGTAAATTATATTTCTTGCTTCTACTGAATATTTATGTAAACAGTATATTGAAGGTACTCATTTTAGACACACAGATGGCCTGTAGACATATGAAAAGATGCTCAACTTCACTAATCATCAGAAAAATGCAAGTTAAAACCACAATGAGATATCACCTCACACCTGCCAGAATGGCTATCATCAACAAATCAAAAAACAACAAATACTGGTGAGGATGTGGAGAAAAGGGAACCCTCGTGCACTGTTGGTGGGAATGTAGATGGGTGGAGCCACTGTGGAAAACAGTATGGAGGTTCCTCAAAAAATTGAAAATGGAACTACCTTATAACTCAGCAATTCCACTTCTGGGTATATATCTGAAGAAACCCAAAACTAATTAGAAAGGACATATGCATTCCTATGTTCATTGCAGCATTATTTACAATAGCCAAAATATAGAAGCAACCCAAATGTCCATCAATAGGTGAATGAATAAAAAAGCTATGGTACATATACAAGGGAATATTACTCGGCCATAAAAAATGAACTGTTACCATTTGTGACAGTATGAATGGACCTAGAGGGCATTATGCTAAGTAAAATAAGTCAGTCAGAGAAAGACAAATACCATATGATCTCACTTCTGTCGATTCTAAAGAACAAAATACATGAACAAACAAAGTTGAAACAGACTCATTCATTTAAGAAACATTTTTGGGATCTCCTACCGTATGATGCGTTCTAGGCACTGGAGTCTATGCAAAGATAGGATGGCAGAGTTCCTCACTTAAGGTGCTTACAGTGAGAGAAGATATGAACTCTGAGTTTGAAGCTGGTGGGAAACTTGCACAATGTTCTAATGCACATATAAGAACAAGCATGAAGCCTCCCCTTACCACCTAACGTCCAAACAGAGCCCTTTATTTTGGGCAAACGGATGAAGAGGTACTTGGGTACTGACTGAATACATCCTAAATGCTGCTCTTACTTCTTGCTTTCATAGTCACCTGGGAACTTTAATATTGGGTTGAAAGGGACCAGCTCCTTCGGGGCAGTTGAGAAAACACTCATGCCCCACAAGCAGGCACGGTGGAAGTGAGGGTTACAGGCAGGGTGGACAGGCACTGCCCTGGGAGTCACTGTGGTGCCCTGCAGGAAGGCTAGTGGGGCCGCCGCGATGACCTGTGTCCTGCTTTACGGGCTGGGCACCAATCAGCGCTGCTCTGCTAACTGCCTGGGATGTCAGAGCGGGGAGGACGGAGAGGGAAGGCCAACACCAGGAAGACGGCCCATCTCCAGGCTGCAGCGGGGCCAACCTGCAGACAGGATGGGGGCGCAGTGCCGCTACTTTGATTATCTAAGACCCCGAGAGAACTGGCTTAGAGTCTGCCGGGAGAACAAAATCAGATGGAAACATGTAATGGGAGGAATAAGCTGCAGTGGGATATGTGAAATGCTCTAGAAAGCTTATTGTCATTTCCATTTCCAAAAAGGAGCAGGCCTTTTTTATTCACTGACTCCACCGTAATAGGAATGTTTACATTAACCGTTTTCAAATCCAGTCATAAGGAAAGAGTCTTTCTAAAATCTGTAAGAGAAGAGTTTAAGAGATAGGTTTATATTTTCATATCATGTAGCTACAGACTAAATCATCTTCCCCAGACATTCACACACTGAAGCCCTAATCCCCAATGCCAACGTAATGGTGTTTGGAGATGAGGCCTTGGGGAGGTATTTAGGTTTAGATGGGAAGTGTCCTTCTTCATCTCCCACTCCTGAGCCTCCAGAATTGTGAGAAAATAAGTGTCTGTTGTTTAAGCTACTCAGTGTGCCCAGCAGACTCATTCACATGTAAAGGACACACACACACACACACACACACACACACAAAACAGACTAAGTAATTTGTTTAAAATACTCTATGAAACTTGCCACAGGACAATTATTGATACAATGTACAGTAGGCACTTAAGTGGATGTGAATCAGTTTTTAATGTTTTGCTATGTTGCCTATCCCTGAGTAAAGAAAGTTACAGTAAAAAGGGAATTTCCCTTAATTAATTACATTTCTTAACATTCATCAGCCACATAGTATAGTTTGCTTTTAATATCATTAAAAATAATAAATCAAAGACACTGGGGGATAAGGGAGGCTAGGGGACTGTCAAGGGCAGGGGGAAAAAATGACACATATGTAATACCCTTTGTAATACTTTAAGCAATAAAAAAAATTAAATAATAAATAAATAAATAAATAAATAAATAAATAAATAAAAATAAAGATTGCCAATGTTGACAGAAAAAAATAATAATAATAATAAATCATACCTGACATCCTTTTTGAAAGTTCGCTGGTGTTATCCAGTCTTCAATCATTCTCAGAATGGAAGCTCCCTATAATGGCAAAGAATGAGAAAGTAAACTGATAAAAGATATGTAAGGGACAAATATCAGTAATTATTATTGTGACTATAATTTCATGATCATATTTGTGAGATTTCTTGAAGATGATTCTGCTAAATTACTAATTATAGCTTTGTTACGTTAGGGTAAAAATACCACTTTGCATACTCCTGTATCGGTGCTTCTGAAATAACTTATGGATAAAGAGAAATCAAAATAGATAAAACAGCCACCAGCATTTCAGTGGCTTGAGGCTCAAGTAACTATTGCAGTTCACAAAATGAACCAGCAGAGGGAGACATTTTAATGAAAGAGAAGGGGAGAACATCTTATAAATACTGCTCTTTCACGAAAAAGGAAAGCAGTTTCAGGATACAATTTTGGCTACTTATAATTTACATTAAAATACTTGAAAAAGAATTATATTTAACAGAGGGAAGTAGATATTTGATAAATTATCTGCATTCAGGTGTGAATATGTTTAGAGGAGACGCTGTAGGACATATTGAGGAAGAAAATGGGTAACAAAACTTTAGGTCACTATAGATTTTTCAACCATTTTTCATAAAATTATAATGGATAAAACTGCCCTTTTACAACATGTTAACAAAGTCATTATTAAATCTTACCTAAAAATGAATAAAGGTAATTCTTCCAAACTGAGTTGGATTTAAACACTTATTAGAAGCACTAAAGGAGTCTACTAGAAAAGGTGTCCACATGTATGGCATTTCTTATCAACCACATGGGCAAAAATATATATATATTTACTGCCTTTAAAAAAACACACAAAACAACCCTGACTGGTGTTCCCAGTGGTTGCAGGGATGGGCAAACTTTTTGACCCGAGGGCCACAATGGGTTCTTAAACTGGACTGGAGGGCCGGAACAAAAGCATGGATGGAGTGTTTGTGTGAACTAATACATGTTAACACTGCTGCTGGTGAAGGAGCGGAGGGGAGAGCAAGAGAACCCTCCGCTCTTTCGGCTCTGCGGGCCGGATAGAACAGCCGAACGGGCCGGATCCGGCCCGCGGGCCGTAGTTTGCCCACAGCTGGGTTAGAGCATCCACCTGCCCACAGAAGGATCTCAGGTTCGATTCCTGGTCAAGGGCGTGACATATCTGGGTTGCAGGTTCGATCCCAGCCCCAGTCGAGACGTGTTAGGGAGGCAACCATCAATGTGTCTCTCTCACATTGATGATTCATGTTTCCTCTCTCTCTCTCCCGCTCCCTTCCACTCTCTCTTAATATATATATCTCCTTGGGTGAGGATTAATAAAAAATAAAAATCAAATAAAGCAATTTAAAATTTGATGCCTAAAGTTTAAATGTTCAATTATCAGAGAGAGTCCTGTTATAAACAAAAGTACAAAAGAGAATTTTTTAAAAATCTGATTCAGAATCCGGAGACATCGGTCACATTGATCAGTTGCACTGAAGAGGACAAGCTTTTGAATAGTCACTCAGAATGAGTTCTGCACTGTTTCTAACGCCTATTAACATGGTTTAACCGCATGACCACCATTTTGTGGATTTACTAAAAGAAAAGGCACCAAGCAGGAAGATACTAAAAACAATGCCATAGTTTCCCCACCTTGCTGTAGGATATTCCATCAAAAGCAGATGTTATTTCAGCAGGATTTGACACAGTGACAACAATGGGGTGTGAAGACATCAAAGAATCATCCTCTTGTACAGGTAGTACATCTTCAAGTAACATCTGGTCCCGCTAAAATGACAGAATGAACCAGAGAAATACAGTACTTCCTTTACACTGGTTCAGATTTCAACATAGCATGTATATAACACAAATTGAGGGAAATAAATATAAATTATTCCAATTATTTAAAACAAGCATTGGGTGTTCAAATCAATCCCATCTTACACTAATTGTCTATACTGATTCCATTGCCTTCTCCTATTTATAACTCCTTGGACTTTGCCTCCATATTACAGGCTAAGAAGACACAGCGTCTGTGGATTCTGTCTCAGACGTGTGCCAGACTTTTGAATCCCTGTTTCCATATCTGTGCAGTGGGAATGATGATATCATCTCCTCCCAGATTTGTTCTGAGAATTGAGGAAGCATGTTGATTTACCAAAAATTGATGTTTGAGTTCTTTACAAAAAAATTTTTTTCAACTAATCATTGGAATTTGGGTGAGATATAATTAATTGAAGAAAACATTTACTTTTGCTTTAGTTCAATTAATAATCATCTTCTCATCCCAGTCCTGTTTTCTCACCAAAATAGAGTTGTTAAGCAGTCTAGCGGCTAGACTCTAGCCCCATAGTCTTTCTTGGTTCAAAGCTCATCTTTCTATTTCCTCGATGTGTAAGTTCAAACAAGTTCCCTTACCTGCTAAATAGGGTAATGATGGCATCTACTTTTTAGAATTGCGCAGCTGATTCAATGAGCTAATGCATGGTAAGCAATTGGCAGAGTACCTGACATAAAAGGAAAACCTAACGCAGCTATTATTATTTTGATTCTTAATCAATTAGATTCTAAAACCTAACTTGTTAAATCACTACTAATAAAAAAATCAAAAGCTTTATTGGTCTTCCTGAATTAAAAATATTAGTTTACATTTTCAGATTTTATGATTTCCTTTTAAAATAGGCAAGGTACTACTGTCAATCAAGGTAAACTGTGAGGCATGAAGAGAATAAAGTTTTCAAATTAGGATTTAGACGTACAGAGCTTCCAAGTACGCAGAAATATATTTATACCTAAAGTTACTGAATATGTAGCTTTAGAGTGATGACTGCCAATCAAGGTAATTTTGACTTGGACTTCAATTTTTTCTGCCCCTGTACAATCTTTAGGTAAGTAGACAGAATCCTGTTCTCAGTGTCAGGAAATTTTACTCTAGTCTTAGTTGTGCTACCAATTAATTGTCTGTGAGACAATGGAATGTTATATACCCTGAGCATCACATTTTCACCTGTGAGATGAGGCTCCACTATTGTGGTACTTAGCAAGCTCTCTCATGATGCATCTTTATTTATCTGCCCTTTTTTCCACCCACAAGACACCAATTTTGGAAATTCTTAATGGCAGGTATTATTTATTCAGTTTTAGGTTCTTTATAGTGTTTATTGAATGAGAAATGAATGAATAAATAAATGAATGAAGAATGATTGAGTTCAATTGTGTGATTAGATTTTTACTTAAGAATTGCATACTAAATTCTTCTGGAATGTAATTGGTGTTTTTGAAACACTGAAGTTAGAATGTTAAAATATAATGGATTATATATATAGCAGTATTGAAATGTTATAATTTATTATAATATGTTGATGTAAGAAGGATATCAGGTTATTTTATAGAAAAGACATTTTTTCATTTATATAGCTTAATTTCAATAAATTATGAAATCAGCAATTTTTAGCATAGATGGGTAGTTCTCAAGTAGGAGATTATATTTTTGTTCCCAGGGGACATCTAGAAATATGGGAAGACATTTTTGGTTTTACAACTGGAATGGAAGGATAACTGGCATCTAGTAGATATAGTAGATATAAGCCTAAGACGTTGCTAAATATTGTACAAGACACAGAAGAACAGCCCACAATGAAGAATTATTCATCCAAAATGTCAATAGTTTCATGGGTAAAAAACCTGATGTATATTAAATTTGTAAAGAAACAACAATTGTTACAAATTTACTTTTTCATTTTTTAAAGTAGATTGTGGAAACTGTAGGGCTTTAAGCATTTAACATTGTCTTTTTATTCTGTACACTAGAGGGCAGTAGTCTATACAGTACACAACTGTGATTCTCTAATTTCACACACTTTCATATATATAAACAGATAAGAATACTCTCGCTATCTAAATATAAATACAAACAGACCTAGCTTTTTGGAAAGACATGTCTGTAGAGTTCATAGAAGCCTCTGTTCCAGGCCCCTCAGGGACACACAATATGATAATAGTAATTACATGTGCATTTGGGGAACTTACAAGACAGAGAACAATGTTTTTTCGTAGAGGATGGAACTGACTCAGAGAGGGTATGTAACTTGCTCAAGGTCACATTCCCTGTGAAGCCCCTAAGAAACGAAGCATCTAGGATTTGAACTTGAGTTGAACTAGTAAGTTTATGCTCTCATCTCTTCACCGCACTATTTCAGCAGCCTGTATAAGGTAAGTCATTCACAAAATTAGGCTTAGACATTTTTCAGAGGGTTAGCACTACAGACACTTTCTTGAACAGAGTTGGCACAGTCGAAGCTATTTTTTTCCTGCCCTGACACATGTTCTTGAGTGACTCTACTGAGGACATCCCCAGATCCTGGAGGCCAGTTGCCCTCTAGGGCCTGGGTCTAGGCTCTGAGGTCCAGTGCAGTAGAGCCAGCTGGCTCCACCCCATTCTCACAGTGGAATTCCTGATTGACCACTTCCCTTGGCCCCAGACTCTGGGTTATAGTCCAAATGCTTCAGTCTGCTTTGCATGAGAAAAACGGGGATTTGGAGCTTGTGTGCTTAGGACTCACCATCTGCCAGTCTCCTTCTGCATGGTTTACTCCCAGGAACTCAAAGAAGGAAGCGAAGCCTTCATTCAGCCACAAGTCTTCCCACCAATCCATGGTCACAGTATTTCCAAACCACTGAAATGATAAGCAATAGTGGCATAGTTAAGTTCTTGTGCCTTTGGTAGAAAACTTCAGTACATTCATTTGTTCATGTAAATTTTATCACTTGACACAGAAGTGGCAGGTGTTCTCAGCCTTTATCTCCTGGCTTTAAAATGATCTAAATTTTCCCTAGTTTCTTGCCTTTAGTTAGGCATTACTGGGAACATTTAAAGTTTTAGGAAGTGCATTTACTAAAGGCAAAACAATGCGTCTTAAAAGTCTCAACAATAAAGGATTAAATTAAAAATAAAATAAATAAATAAAAGGAAAAAGTTTATAGTACAACATTTATCGGCACTAAGAAAGACTTTCCAAGCAGGATTTTTTGAGTTGGCTACTTTTAATTGGCTAAATTATTTCAATTACAAAATGAGCTAATTTGAAGCTAAGATTCTATACCTGATGCACAAGTTCATGGGCAACCACAGTGGCAACCCTCTGCTTGTTGGATGAGGCTGATTCCAGGGGGTCATACAGCAGGTTCGTTTCCCGGTACGTGATGAGTCCCCAGTTCTCCATAGCCCCAGTGCCAAAGTCTGGAATAGCAATCTTATCTATGGAAAAAGAAAGAGTCCAGTGAGAAATACATTCTTTCCATTTGTTCATAAAATTAACAACGTAAGTTCTTTGGATGAATGTATTTTAAAAAATCTAAAAATAACTTTTCAGTCTTCGTGCACTCAAAATTTCCATGGCCCTTTTCCTGTTGGCTCCAGATATCAATGTGTCATGTGTTTTAATAGCAATTTTACTAATTACACATTTTTACTAATGGCAATGCTCTTTTCAAGACCTCTGTAATTTTGTGTCTTTTGTTCCTCTCTGTACTTCATTTTAATTAGCTTTTTAAATAATCTTCACTTAGATAACACAGAGTATCTGTTTTGGGGATAAGCTGTGAAAAATTAAGAGAATGACGTTTTCAAATGAGGACTTAGAAGCACAGAGCTTCCAAGTGCACAAAAATATATTTCTATCTAAGGTTACACAATATTAGAAAATAGACATTCTACTTTTTCCTTAACTCTGTATAATTTGAGGTCAACCTGACTCCCTACGAATTGAGTAACTTACCATCCGGTTGTATGTATTAAAGTAGCTGGATCAAGATGGAATTGATGCCCTAGCTGGTTTGGCTCAGTGGATAGAATGTCGGCCTGCAGATTGAAGGGTCCCAGGTTTGATTCTGGTCAAGGGCACATGCCTGGGTTGCGGGCTCCATTCCCAGTAGGGGGTGTGCAGGAGGCAGCAGATCAATGATTCTCTCTTATCATTGATGTTTCTCTCTCTCTCTTCCTCTCCCTTACTCTCCCTTACTCTCTGAAACCAATAAAAATACATTTTTTAAAAAAAGATGGAATTGACTACATTCTCTCTAAATTTCCTTCCAAGTCTAAAATGTTGAATTTTATCACAACTTCCTATTCCTTATTTTTGCTGGGGCTTATAATCTTAGACATACTATCTGACCAGAAGATGTGTTGATCAGTTCTATGTTAAATCCTAAAACAGAAAATATTTAGCTTGATTACTGGACAAATTACAGTCCAGTTAGTGAACTATAATAAAAATCTAATTTTTTTATTATTACATAGAATTTAAATGAGGCATATAAATGAAAATTAAAATTCCATCTAACATATAAGAAAGGCCTTTTCTGGTTAAAATAAAGATTCTTAAAGCTTTTTACAAAAGAATGAAAATAGATCTTAAGTGGAGGTCAAGATTATGGCTATAGTTTCCTTTTCATTTTCTCTTCATTCTTATGTTTGGTTTTTGTTTGTTTATTTGTGTTTTTTTTTTCCCCACAAGAATACCACTTAAAAGGTAGAGAAGTATTCCCCACAAGGGCCAATATTTTTCCATATATTATGAAGAATAATTTAATTTTTTGGGGGGGGTAATAATAAACACAGAAGTCATTTCTAGGCAAAGTCTAAGATCGTGTCAATACTGAAAAGGTTGGGGGGGGGACTGAAAGAGTTGAAATGCTTGTAGAAATATGGGGGAGGAGGAAGAGGAGGATGAAGACAAGGAAGAAGAGAAGTTGTAATAGTAATTGTTACAGTAGTCGTTCTTATAGTAGTTTTAGTAGTAGTACAATAGCAAGAATAATTGCAGTAGTAGTAGTTGTTGCAGTTGTAGTAGTAGAAGTAGTAGTGGTGGTGGTAGTCATAGTAATTGTAGCAGTTGTAGTAGTAGAAGAAGTAGTAATAGTAGTGACTTTAGTAGTGGCTGTAGTTAGTATAGTGGCAGCAGTATTTGTGGAGAGGAAGGAACAAAGCAAAGAGAACAGAGAAATAAATATGTGAGATTTCCACTTCCGAGGATTACTTGGGTGGAACAAGTGAGATAAAGAGAAAAAAAAGACCTTTAAATTAATGTGTGGAACATTTTATTAAACATTCTGATTTTTTAAAATTAAATCTTTATTGTTCAAATTATTACAGTTGTTCCTCTTTTTTCTCCTCAAAGCTCCTCTCCACCCAGGTCCCACCCCACCATCTGCCCTTACCCCCTCTCCCCCCACTGTCCTCATCCATAGGTGTATGATTTTTGTCCAGTCTCTTCCCGCACCCCCACACCCCTTTCCCCTGAGAATTGTCAGTCCACTTTCTTTCTATGCCCCTGATTCTATTATAATCACCAGTTTACTCTGTTCATCAGATTATTTATTCACTTGATTTTTAGATTCACTTGTAGATAGAAATATATTTGTTGTTCATAACCTTTATCTTTACCTTTTTCTTCTTCTTCCTCTTCTTAAAGGATACTTTTCAGTATTTCATATAATACTGGTTTGGTGGTGATGAACTCCTTTAGCTTTTTTCTTATCGGTGAAGCTCTTTATCTGACCTTCAATTCTGAATGATAGCTTTGCTGAGTAAAATAACCTTGGTTGTAGGTTCTTGGTATTCATCACTTTGAATATTTCTTGCCACTCCCTTCTGGCCTGCATAGTTTCTGTTGAGAAATCAGCTGACAATCATATGGGTACTCCCTTGTAGGTAACTAACTGTTTTTCTCTTGCTGCTTTTAAGATTCTCTTTGTCTTTTGCTCTTGGCATTTTAATTATGATGTGTCTTGGTGTGGTCCTCTTTGGATTCCTTTTGTTTGGGGTTCTCTGTGCTTCCTGGACTTGTAAGTCTATTTCTTTCATCAGGTAGGGGAAGTTTTCTGTCATTATTTCTTCAAATAGGTTTTTGATAGCTTGCTCTCTCTCTTCTTCTGGCACCTCCATAATTCAGATGTTGGTACTCTTGAAGTTGTCCCAGAGGCTCCTTACACTATCTTCATATTTTTGGATTCTTTTCTCTTTCTGCTTTTCCAGTTGGATGTTTTTTGCTTCTTCGTATTTCAAATCTTTGACTTGATTCTTGCAATCCTCTTGTCTGCTGTTGGGAGTCTGTATAATATTCTTTATTTCAGTCAGTGTATGCTTAATTTCTAGTTGGTCCTTTTTCATATCTTCGAGCATCTCACTAGATTTCTTGAGGGTCTCACTAAATTTATCGGCGGTTTCTAGAAGATTCTTAAAAAACCTTATAACCGTGGTTTTGAACTCCATATCCAGTAGTTTGCTTTCCTCCATTTCTGTCATTTGTGACCTGTTTCTTTGTCTCCACAGTTTGGCTGATTCCCTGTGTTGATAGAGTGGCTTTGTGTGCTAGGTGTCCTATAGGGCTCAGGGCTCAGCCTCCCCAATTACCTGAGGTGGACACTCTTGGTGGACCCCTATGTGGGCTGTGTGCACAGTCTTGTTGTAGTTAAGCCTTGATTGTTGTAGGTTATCACTGGGAGAAATTGACCTCCATGCCAATTGTCTGTGAGAATCAGCTGTGTCTACAGTGGGAGAACTTCTGTGCTGGAAACGCCCTTATGGGGCAAGACTTGCTTCAGTGGGGCTCTGGTGTTCACTGAGTCTGCCCCCTGAGTGTGTCCCTTATGGATGTGAGGAGTTATAATCTGGATGGTCCCACTCTGACCACTGGGTACACTGGCTCTTGGATCTCTAAGGAGGTGCTAATTTAGCCTCTGCCTGAGGCTACCCAGCAGGAGCTATGGAGAGATCTGCAGATTCTTCTTCTTTGTTTGGGGTTTGGAGGTGCCCAGATGAGGCCCAGCTGTGAAGCAATGCACGCTGCTGTGGGGCCTTGGGCCTTCTCTTGGTTGTTCTGGGTCTCTCTGATGCAGCTGCAGTTTGTTAGGTAATTTTAGATTGCAAAGGTCCACGCCTTTCATATGCAAAAGCCTCTGCACACAGCTTGGGTGAGGCGGGGTCTCAGGGAATCAACAGGGCAGAACAAACAGCTATGGCTGCTCCTCAGTCCTGCCTTAAGAAGCCCCGGGTCTCAGTGTCCTGTGGTAATTGCTGTAAGCACCTCTGAGAGAAAGCCACCCTCGAGTTCCGCCTGCTGCCAGACAGTCCAGTTTCTTGCCGTATGAGTCTGGGTCCCCAGAGACTCGCCCGGAAATGGAGTTCTGAGCAGTCGGGAGCTTGTGTCTCCCTCCCGATTGAAAAAAACAACTGTGTTCTCAGTTGCCAGCCCTTTCCACGTGCACCTTTGTACCTCTGCACTTAACTTCTGCACCTCCTCTGAGTCTCAGTATGCTTTTCTCTTTCCTTCTAGTTGTAGAATTTCCACTCAGCCAGACTTCCTGCAGTTCTGGATGATGTATGTTTTGTCTTTTAGTTGTATTTTTGAAGTGGTTGTGCAAGGCAGCAATTTCAAGTGTTTACATATGCCGTCATCTTGGTTTCCAAACATTCTGATTTTGATGAAAAGTTGTTTCTCTGCCTGTGTCCTCTATTGGTAATAGTTTCCAAGCAATCAAAAAAGAAGCTGGATCTACCGCCATTGATGAGAAAATCTATATACTTGCTTAGAGCCACAGCCATTCCCATGTAGAAAATTTGGCATTTCAGCTGCTTTGCATTAAGAATTATATCAGACATGGATATGGGTGTTCCATTTAAAGTCTTTGCTAATACCATTGAGGTTACAATAAAGAATTTCTGCTATTGACAGTAGTATCATATCAGTACAATTTTGATATAGCTCAAGGGTGGGCAACCCCTGGCATATGTGCCAAACATGGCACACCAGTAACTTTTGCTGGCACGCGAAACCCTCTCTTATAATCTTCCATTTACAATTTTTTTTCTCAATATCGACTTTTTTATTTTTCAGATAAATTCAGTGTAGGTGCATCTTAGATACTTAAATAATTTTACATAACATGTATACATTAAAAAATAAATGTATTTTTCATCATCATATGCTGTGTTTTTGTCACTCGAATGAATTTTATTATTTCTTCAAGGTTCTTCACATACGTACACCTTAAGAGATGTCAAGTAGGTGTAACATGTTCTCAAAAAATTAGGGTGGGCACGCAGAAGAATTTTGAGTCAGAGATTTTGCTGGTTTTGGCATGCACTCACAAAAAGGTTGCCCACCCCTAATATAGTTTATTTTAAAAAATAAATAAAACTGCTTCATCAGAAAAAAATATTTATTGAAGGAGCACCATTGTTTTATTTTAACTGCTGAAAAAATCTAGAATTAGTCCTGTGTAACAACAGAAAAACTAGATGCAGATGGGACCTCAACAGCATTATTTATTCTTCTTATTTTCCAACTCATTGATGGTAAGGAGGCAGTATAAGCTATTAGGATGGGTACTAATTTTGAAATCAATTTATCTAGATTGCTATTTCTGGTTCCTTCATTATCAACATCTGTAGTTTTGTGCAGTAGAGTACTTTAATTTTTATTTGGAGATAAAAGACTATATATTTATCAGGTGAGAACAGAATATAAACATTCTTGGAGGAATCCAGAATGAATCCTTCCACATCTACTAAGTATTAGACACATACTGTGGGCACACAACAAAAAGATTTAGGGATGGGTATTAACTAAGTATGATAAAGCTGGAGAAAGTGAATTAACTTAGGTGAAAACAAAAACAATATTAAAAAATATATATAAAGAACCAGTGTTCATAATGTCCAAAACGACCGAAGAGATGACCGAATGCCAGGCTGTGCATGCAGCAGGCTGGGCGGGGACTGGCCAGCAGGCTGAACTGCTGACCTCTTGGGGAGAGAGAGGCAGGGCTGATCAGCAGCTGCCGCGGCTGCTGGTGAGGCCCAGAGAGAGAAGCAGAGTCTGATCCACAGCCTCTGTGGCAGCTGTTGATCAGCCCTCACCTCTCTCTCTCTCTCCAGGCCTTGTCAGCAGCCGGGCCTCTCTCTCTTTCCAAGAGGTCAGCAGTTCCGCCTGCTGGCCAGCAGCCTGGGGCACCTGCTTATCAGCCTTGCCTTTCTGATCAGGCTTGGAGATAGGCTTGGAGACGCTGACTGGCATAGAAACCAACCAATCAGAACTAAATCTGGGTGAACTGGAAGGAGCCAATGGCTGCCTAGGAGGCGGAGCTTTTGACGCTGAATGGCATAGAAACTGACCAATCAGAACCTAATCTGGGTGAACTGCAAAGGCAGAACCTAAGGTGGGGGCTGAGGAGGTGTTTTAAGGGCAACAGCTATTTGGTGTAAGGTGTAAGAAAGCTTAATTTTTTAATGACTGGTTTGGCAGTACAGTGCATATGGCTGGCTATCAGTCCAGATATAGGGATTATGTATTTTTGTCTGCCAAGAGCATCTCCTCCTGCTGAAAAAGGCTCCCCCCCCCCCAATTTAAGCAATCCTATCCTATATTATCTATCTATACTAATAAAAGGGTAATATGCTCATTAGACCAGGTCGACCTGCAATCTTCTGGATGTCCGGAAGTCATGGTGGTGGGGGCTGAAGCAGAGGCAGTTAGAGGTGATCAGGCCGGCAGGGGATCAGGCCGGCAGGGGAGGGCAGTTAGGAGGCAGCTGTCCCAGATTGCGAGAGCGATGTCCGACTGCCGGCAGTCGGACATCCCCCAAGGGGTCCCTGATTGGAAAGGGTGCAGGCTGGGCTGAGGGAATGCCACCCCCCCGGCATTAATTTCATGCACCGGGCTACTAGTAAGAAAATAAATGATTCTCACCCAATTTAGGAAGAGCATAATCCATAGCAAAGTATTCTTCATAATAATCGAACACAATTTGAGTTATGTTGGCAGCATATTCACCTGTGTGCTTTTGCTCTGGCTGGACATATACAGTGAGCTATTAAACAAAACACAAAGATTCAGTGAAAATTAATCTTCATTTGATAAAACATATGAATCAGTGGAAAGAAGGTAGGCCTTAGAGCCAAATAAGCCTAATTTGAATCTCAGTTCTGCATGGACAAATCATGTCACATTTCTGAAACTCATGTGTAAAGCAAGATAACACTGCATGGCTCATTGAGGGGTTTCAATGATTAGAAATACTTTAAGACAAAGGTTGGCATACTATTTAATACATTTTTAAAATGTTACTACTCTTTTCTATTTCAAACATGTATTGACATTTTAATATCTGTGTATCAATCTATATATCTACCTATCCATCGTCCTATCTATCTATCATCTATGTATCATCTCTGTGCAATTTGTCTTTGAGGAAATCAATCATGCGGTTTTTCTCATCTAAAGAGCCCTTGGATACATGTTTACCACTTGGTCTATTCTATCCATTGCTATCCAAATGACTGTTTTGATATTTTAACTATTCTACTCTAAGAATCTAAAATACAACGATTTTAAGATTTTCCTGAGAGGGAGGCATCTTGATAAGCTACATCATTCTATAAGTCTCTAGGATATTATTTTGTGACATCATTTATAAATACAACCAAGTACAGATTACCCACCACCAACACCACTAATTCTAAGCATCTATGGCCCACAATAGCCAACACAATGTTGAAAGAGGAAAAACAAAGTTGGAGTACTGATACTAGCTGAGTCCAAGATTTACTACAGAGCACCAGTAATCAAGACAGTGTAGCAAAAAATAACAACAAAAAAAACACACACACAGATCAATATAACACCATAACCCAGAAATAGACCCACATAAATATAATTAACGATCTTTGACAAAGGAGCGAAGGCAATACAATGGAGCAGGACAGTTTTTTTGCATTTTATAAACAAAATAGTGCTGGAACAAGTGAATATCCACATGTAAAAAAATAATAAATAAATAAGTCTGGACACAAACCCTGTACCATTCACAAAACTTGAAACTAGACCAAAATGTAAAATATGCAACTATAAAACTCCTAGAAGATAAAATAGAACAAAACCTAGATGACCTTGGATGTGAAGATGACTTCTTAGATACAACACCAAAGGCATGCTCCATGAAAGAAATAATTGACAATCTGGACTTTATACTAAAAACTTCTGCCCTGTGAAAGACAGCGCCAAGTGAGAAGACAAGCCAAGCTGAGAACAAATATTTGCAAAAGACATATCTGACAAAGGTATATTATCCAACATATACAAAGAACGCTCAAAATGCAACAAGAAAACAACCAGATTAAAAAATGGACCAAAGACCTTAACAGGTACCTCACCAAATAATATATACAGATGGGAAGTCATATATGAAAAGATGCTCTACGTCATATGTTATCAATGAGATGCAAATTAAAAGGAGATACCACTAGACACCTACAAAGAATGCCAAAATCTGGACCACTGACAGCACCAAATGCTGGTGAGGATGAGGAGCGACAGGAACTGTCATCATTGCTGTTGGGGATGTAAAGCTACTTTGGAAGACAGCTTGGCAGTTCTTATAAACAGACTCTTACCATAGGATCCAGCAATCACTCTCCTTGGTATTTAATCAAAGGGGTTTAAAACATGTCCACACAAATTGCACACAGATGTTTACAGCAGCTTTATTCATAATTCCCCAAGGTGTCCTCCAGTGGGTGAATGGATAAAATGGAAAATTATTTCGTTCTAAAAAGAAATAAGCTATGCAACTATAAAAAGAGAGGGAGAACACGTCAATGCATATTACTAAATGAGAGAAGCCAAGCTGAAAAGGCTACATCCTGTATAATTCCAACTATGTGACGTTTTGGAAGAGGCAAAATTATAGAGACAATAAAGAGATCAGTGGTTGCCTGAGCTGGGTAGTGAGGAGGAGGAAGAGATGACTAGGTGAAGTTCGGAGGATTTTTAGAGCCTTGGAAATGCTTCATATATGATTTGTTGAGATCCATAGAATGTACAACCAAGAATTAACCCGAAGGTAAACTATAGACCTTGGGTATTATGATGTGTCAATATAAGTTCATCCATGGTTTAGAAAAAAAAAAGAGAGGTATTATTTGGGGCAGTGATATTGGTAATGGGAGAAACTATGTAAGTGTGGGAGCAGGGGGTATGTGTTAAATCTTGGTACCTTCCCTTAATTTGGTTGTAAACTCTACTTAAAAACTGCTTTAAAAATGTCTTGAAAGAAACAAGGTTTCGAAGACTTCAAATAAAGTATGTTCGCTGAATTTAAAAAAATAATTCAAAACCTTCAAGCAGGGAGAACCAAGATGGCGGCATAGGTTAACGCCGGAGTTTGCTGCTTTGAACAACTACTTCAAAAGTGAAACCAAAAAACGGAAGGGACATCACCCAGAACCACAGGAACGCTGGCTGAGTGGAAGTCCTACAACTAGGAGGAAAGAGAAACGCATACGGACACTCAGAGGAGGCGCAGTGCTGAAGTCAAATTCTGAGGTGCGGAGTGCGCAGAGCGGGCTGGCCGCGGAGGGCGCGGTTGGCGTTTTCAATCGGGAGGGAGTCGCAGACTCTGAGCTCCAGATCCGGGCGAGTCTTTAGGGACCCAGACTCAAACGGGAGAAGCGTGACTGTCTGGCTTCGGTCAGAGCGAGTGCAGCTTTCTCTCTGAGCTTTGCAGCGGGTGCTGGGACTCAGAGAGGCAGAGCCCCTGGGGACAGGACTGAGAGCCGCCATAACTGCTCTCTCCGGCCCACCCTGTTGATCCTGTGCGACCCGCCCAGCCCAAGCCCTGCACACAGGCATTTGCCGGATAGCCTCAGGCAAAGGCTAGATTAGCACCTCCCTAGAGGACAGAAGTTCTCTCACTGCTGACACAGCTGATTCTCATAGCCACTTGGCCTGGAGGTCAAACCCTCCCTGGAATTAGCTACAACAATCAAGATTTAACTATAAGACTGCGAACAAAGACCACTAGGGGGTGCACCAAGGAAGCATAACAAAATGCGGAGACAAAGAAACAGGACAAAATTGTCAATGGAAGATATAGAGTTCAGAACCACACTTTTAAGGTCTCTCAAGAACTGTTTAGAAGCCGCCGATAAACTTAATGAGATCTCCAAGAAAACTAATGAGACCCTCGATCTTATATTGGGGAACCAACTAGAAATTAAGCATACACGGACTGAAATAACGAATATTATACAGACTCCCGACAGCAGACCAGAGGAGCGCAAGAATCAAGTCAATGATTTGAAATGTGAGGAAGCAAAAAACACCCAACCGGAAAAGCGAAATGAAAAAAGAATCCAAAAATGCGAGCACAGTGTAAGGAGCCTCTGGGACAGCTTCAAGCGTACCAACATCAGAATTATAGGGGTGCCAGAAGATGAGAGAGAGCAAGATATTGAAAACCTATTTGAAGAAACCATGACAGAAAACTTCCCCCACCTGGTGAAAGAAATGGACTTACAGGTCCAAGAAGCGCGGAGAACCCCAAACAAAAGGAATCCAAAGAGGACCACACCAAGACACATCATAATTAAAATGCCAAGAGCAAAAGATAAAGAGAGAATCTTAAAAACAGCAAGAGAAAGAAACTCAGTTACCTACAAGGGAATACCCATACGACTGTCAGCTGATTTCTCAACAGAAACTTTGCAGGCCAGAAGGGAGTGGCAAGAAATATTCAAAGTGATGAATACCAAGAACCTACAACCAAGATTACTTTATCCAGCAAAGCTATCATTCAGAATTGAAGGTCAGATAAAGAGCTTCACAGATAAGGAAAAGCTAAAGGAGTTCATCACCACCAAACCAGGATTATATGAAATGCTGAAAGCTATCCTTTAAGAAGAGGAAGAGGAAGAAAAAGGTAAAGATACAAATTATGAACAACAAATATGCATCTATCAACAAGTGAATCTAAGAATCAAGTGAATAAATAATCTGATGAACAGAATGAACTGGTGATTATAATAGAATCAGGGACATAGAAAGGGAATGGACTGACTATTCCTGGGGAGGATAGGGGTGTGGGAGATGCGGGAAGAGACTGGACAAAAATCGTGCACCTATGGATGAGGACAGTGGGTGGGGAGTGAGGGCGGAGGGTGGGGCGGGAACTGGGAGGAGGGGAGTTATGGGGGGAAAAAAAAGAGGAACAAATGTAATAATCTGAACAATAAAGATTTAATTAAAAAAAAAAAAAAAAAAACCTTCAAGCAAAGCAAAAGATGCAGTCATCTGGTTAGTTCCAGCCCGTACACCTGACCAGAATGGCTGACTCGTCATTAAAAAAAGAAAGGGAAAAAATTATGCCCATTTTCCTTCTTTATTATTCTAAATGCATTGCTACTTTTGGATTTCAGGTAGGCACACATCTGAGCCATCTTTGCCTAGAAGAACAGTGGAGAGACCAGAAATTTAAAAGACGAGTTCTGAAAGGGCACCCCTTAAATGGCCAGTGCTGGCTCTCTGTGCTCACTTCCACTGGGTACTTGACATTCTTGTTTTATCTGCGTAAGTAAAACTGTGATCATCTTTGTCTCCAAAGGCAACACACTCACTCAATTATCATCCCAACATTCTCTGAGGTTTTTGCTTTCTATTTATTTTTAATTGGCCATAAGTGGAGATACATTTCCCCCTGCCCTCCTGTGCCATGACGCGCATTATCCAGGAGGTTAAGGGAAACTAAGGGTCCAGCCAGGGGCCACTGATCAGAGCCAAAATAACTGCTCCGTGCGAAATCCAAAGCCTCACGTTCATGCAGGACTGCTATGTTGCAAAGGGAGCTCCTTAGAATTTCTCATCTGTGAGCTAATTAGTGTGTCAAAACTCCCCAGAATCTCCATCACCTTTGTTTGCCGCCATTAAAAACTGCAGGAAGGGCAGCTCCTCTGGGCTCGCTCCAGTGCTGCCTACACTCTGTACTTGAGCCCTAGGTACAATGTGTGGAGAGTGGGAGGGTTGAGGAAGAGGAAG